ATTCGAGAGATTCGAGAGATTCGAGAGAGAGCATGAAGAGACAGAATATGAATCGGTTTGAGAAAAAGAGAAATAAAGAGAGAGAGAGAGAGAGAGAGAGAGAGAGAGAGAGAATTGAGAGCGAGACAGAGGGAATGGAGAGAGAGAATGAGAGGCAGAGAGAGAGAGGCACAGGCCGGATTTTTCTTTCTCACTCAGTGGAGGAGAAGGAGAGGTGTGTGTAAGACAGTCAACTCTCTCTCTCTGTTGGGTTGTTGGGAAACGGCAGCGGGTGTTGTTGGAGATGAGGGGAGGGAGGGAGGGAGGAGGGTGTAAGGGAACAAGACCAATGGTAGGAAGGAGCTCGCTGTCGGATGGCTGCATTTGACTCCAGTGGATCGATGTTTTTTTTTTTTTTTTGTTTGGAGACAAGTTGTTGTTGTTGTTGTTCTTGTGGCAAACGGCAGCGGCAGCGACGGTGACGGCGGCGGCGGTGAATAGGTGGTCTGGGCGAATATTCTCACCTCGTTTTGGCGCTTGCGTTTGGTGGTGGTGTTGTGGGCTTTGTAGGGGAATTGCATCTTGTGTGGAGGGCAATTTCCCGGTCGACAGCATCATGGTGTCGAGCATTTCCCATATCCTGCGCGGCAATGCCGATCCCTTTACTTTGGTCGTGGCCTCGGGCTTTTCGCTCTGGTGGCTCGGCTGCCATGCCCGTCGCATCTCCAGCGTGGTTTGGTTTGCCGTCGGCATTGCCCCCATCCTCCTTCTCCCGGACTATAAGCTTCCCATTGATGGTATGCTTCCCGCCCTTGATCGCGCCACAGAGCTTCGACAGGTACAGGTTCGCCTCTGCTTCGCGCCACCCGCTGGCTCACTTCCGCTCTGGACCTTCTTCTCGTCGCCTCTACCTCGTTAGACTATCTCCCAAGCGCGGTAACGGGTCCCATGCATGCCGCCGCCGCCGCCATGTTGACCAACACTGGCCTTCTGGCGGCGGCCGCCACCGGCTTGGTGATGGTGCTCATGTCCCGCCGTCAGCGCCGCCAAGAGTACTATGTTGTCGACGAGACGATCGGCGAGCGCCTCAAGGTGGGTCACCGATACTTGGCCTTGCAGACTGTTTCATTTGATCGTGCTTCTCCTCCGCCCTACATTCTTCAAGTCGCTGGTGCCATCTCTGACTTGCATCGATCCGGGCCCAACCCCAGGTTGTGACCAAGACCTCGCCCACCGAAAAGGCCACCCCGGAGTTTGTTGCCGATGTCGTCGCTGACATGCGCGCGAGCTTCATGTCTGGCATCTCCCTGCCCGTGGAGACGCGCAAGGCCCAGCTGCGAGCCCTGCGTCAATTCTTTGTCGACCAAAAGGAAAACATCATCGCGGCTTTGGCTGCCGATCTCGACCGCCCCCGCCTCGAGGCCATCATGTATGACTGGGCCCTGCCCGTCGCCGAGATCGACGTAAGCGCTGCTCATGATGTGCCCTTGAACCTGACACCCATCCTGTTCCACTGTCGCCCTTTCGGGGCTCATGATTGGATGATTTGACCGCTTAGAACATGCTGGCTGATCTCGATGATTATCTCGAGCCCGAACCCTGCGAGCAGCATATCCTGTCTTTCCCAGCCAAGCAATATCTGCAACCCGATCCTCTTGGCGTTGCGCTCATCATCGGTACCTGGAACTTCCCTCTCCAGCTCGAGCTCGTGCCCCTCATTGGTGCCATTGCTGCTGGCAACACGGCCATTGTCAAGCCCGTAAGCCGCCCACGCTTTCTGGCGTTGTCCGATCTTTGTTCGCAGCGTCCCAGCGTCTTGTGCCTTCACGTCCATTCCTCGCCCTCATCCACCGCCTGTCTAAATGCAGTGCGTTATCAGCCGCAACTGTGCTGAGCTGGTGCAGCGTGAGCTGCCCAAGTACCTGGACCCCCGGTACGTCGACTCGAAGGACTAACGTTCCTTGACGCCTCTGCCTCTTTGTATCGCTTGATCCGAGCATGCCTACACCAACGGAACATCTACGGTGGATCTCATGTGTCTCATGCCCGTGCATCGTGCATCGGATGGCGTTGCGTTGCGTCTTTATTATGCAGCATTGTCCATGTCCTCGGCGCCTTTGAGGAGCGCGACTCACCCGTCACCAACGAGCTGCTCAAGCACAAGTTTGATGTCATCTTCTTCACCGGTGTGTCGGTGATACGGCCATGCCACCTCCCTCTCCTTTGATGGTTACCCCTGCATCTGTCATTCATCCTCGCCTCAATAGGTTCGCCCAAGGTTGGCCGTGTCATCATGGAGGGAGCGGCCAAGAACTTGACGCCGTGCATTCTGGAACTTGGCGGCAAGAACCCTGTTTACGTGGACAAGTCGGCCGATGTTACCCTCGCCGCCAAGCGCTGTGGTGCGTCCTCAGCATGGATATAAACTCACGGCTCACTGTATTTTGGGGGTCTACCACACTTGGCCTGGACTCCTTGGGACTGCCAGAAAATGACTCACCCAGTCTCATTATGCTTGGCCGAATAGTTTGGGGCCGCAACCTCAATGCTGGACAGCAATGCATTTCCCCCGACTTTGTGTTGTGCCACGAGGCCGTGCTTGACAAGTTCTGTACGTGATCATATTGCCTCGTAAACAACGACAACGCAACGCGCCTTTGCCGTGCATTGACTCACCTCACGCGGGGTTTGGGCTCTTGCGTTGGTCAGTGTCTGAATGCCGTCGCTTTGTGGCCGAATTCTATGGCCCTGATCCCAGCACCAGCGGGAGCGTTGGCAAGATTGTGGGTGAGCGCCAAATTGAACGTATCGCCGACCTCATTGAAACCACCAAGGGCAAGGTAAGGCTGCGCTGATTTGGCCCTGCTGCTTGGACAGCTCAGCTCGAGGCGGGTGGTCATCCGCGTTGGCTTGACCTTGTCTTTTTCATTCCGACTTGCTTTTTCATTTCGACTTGTAGTTTGTCGTTGGTGGCGACTACAACAAGGAGACCCGCTATGTGGCGCCGACTGTGGCGCATGTCGCCATGGATGACGTTTTGATGGAGGATGAGATTTTCGGCCCCATCCTCGCGGTATGCCTCATTGCCTTTTGGCGTATCGCTCCCTAAAACAAGCATCGGATGCTGACATTGTGGTTCTTGGTTGGGTCTCGTCTGCCTGAATGGCTGCGTGGCCTCTAGGTGGTGGGCGTGCCCAATGCCCAGGCCGCGCTGACGGAGATCCGTTCGCGCCCCGAACCCCTGGCCTTGTATGTGTTTGCCGAGGACAAGACCACCCAGGAGCTCTTCCTGCACAACACGGCCTCGGGCGGTGTTACAGTCAACCATTGCATCTTCCACGTGGCCAATGTGCGCTTGCCATTTGGTGGCGTCGGTAACTCGGGCATGGGCTCCTACCACGGTACGATCCACGGTCTCTACAGCACTCTCCCCTCTCCCCGCGCGATGCCGTGCAGACAGTTTGTTGAGCTCGCGAAACTAGCACGTACTCATGCTTGTATTGCTTGATGGTGCGGGGGGGTGTGAACATTGTCGCCCATATACAGCCAAGAAAACGTTTGATGCATTTAGCCACCCCAAGCCCGTGGTCATCAAGTCCAAGTGGGCCGACTTTGGCATCATCTCTGATCCCTTCTACCTCTACCCGCCTTGGAACTCTGTCAAGGAATGGATCCTCAGCGCTTCCCAGCCGCTCATCTAGACGTCAAAACGCATCGCTGAGGCGCAATACTTGAATTTGTGCCTTGTTTGTGAGCGTCAATCCCTTTTGCGTGCTTTGTTCCTTCTTTTTGCATGGCAAAACTGAAATGGCGACATTGACAAATCATCTTGAATGGTCCGAGCCAAATGAACATGCACACTCAAGACGGAGCAGGGATGTGAGGTGTGCCGTTGGCCTGTCTTGGCCCTGCCGGGATGACCAAAGCATGTCCAACTCCTTTTTCCGAAAGCCCCCCTCTTGAAACCAGAAAGACCAATCCCCCCTTCTCTCATTTCTGTTCATTTTAGCTTTGATGTTTGCTACACTTTTGCCTGAATGACATCATCTCTCTGAAATTTTGTCGTCTGACACTTTTGTCTCTGAGAGAGAGAAAGAGAGAGAGAGAGAGAGAGCGCGCGCGCGAGAGAGAGAGGAAACCGATCTCTCCGGTTCGAGTGCCGTTTGCGGTGCGCTGGGCAGCTCGGCCCCCACTTGCCTGATGCTTTGGGTAGGAGAGGCGGGGATTGGGTAGGAGCGGATTACCGTTGTGGCTTGCGGTACGTGGTGTCGCGAGGGGTGAAAGCTTGCTGCTGTTGTTGTTGTTGCTGCTGGTGCAGGCAACCGTCGCGGGGCGGTGCTTGGAGTCATGTTGACCGCGAATCATGCTTGGTGTTGGCTAGGTGGTGGCCGCCACAAGTACCTCCAGGCGTTTGCGCCCGGCTTTGGGGGCAGGGTTTCGCCGACCCTTGCCGATTGGCCCTCTGGTTGCCAGTTGGGGCTTGGGTCGGGTGGCTGAACCACCATGGGCTTCACCCGGAATTTTCGAGTGCTGGAACATCAGCGCGATGGATCCATCTTTTTGCTGAATCGCACCACCGGACTGGCGCTGTGGTTCCGCAACGATGGCAAATTCGAGGCCCTCACCGCCCCTGAATACGAGCTTCACGGCCAGGAGTTGACCAAGCGTTATGATGTCTATGGTGCCATCGGCGTGCTTGAGCTCCCCACCGGTTCGCCATTTGCGCCCACCGGCTCGCCAGTTCCGCCGAGACTGCTCCCTCGCCACCATGCCTGCATGCTCACAGATCCTGCTTGGGCGCCCCCTGCGAGTAGAAAAGGGCTCGGATGTCACAGCCCCAGTCCTGCTTGTGGTCATGGACTGCAAGAGCAATGGTCGCCTACCAGGGTGTCAAGTGTACCACATCAGCCGCATCGGTAGGATCACATCTGGGTGTAACTGGTAGAACCGGCCGTCACTTAGTTCTGACCATGCATGGGGCTTTGCTTGCGATAGACTTGGTATATCTCGCCTCGGCTGCCCATGATGAGCGTCCCCACGATTACTACTGCACCTACTTGAAGCAGGTCAGTTTCAACCACCCTTGGTGGCCCCTCCGAGCTCGGTTGCTGTCTTTCGTTTCCCATCGTGGCTTTACTGACTTTCTTGGCCGCCCCGATGGTCCAGCTCTTTGCCACCGGCAGCTTCTATTTTTCAGCTCGCGAGGAAAGCCTCGCTCCCGGAGGTGCGTGTGCCTGGCGTCTCCCTGCTCGAGATCGCTCCACGGCACAAACTCAAGCGCTTATCTGTGTACCGGCGTCCTTCTTTCCTTCCAGCCTACGTGTACGACATATCGAGCCGGTGCCAGCTTAGCAACCCTGCTGTACGTCGCGTGCCTGCTCTTGGCAATTTGTGCAGCCAACTTCACTGCGTCCGCACGCCTCACGGTCCATCTCCCTTCTGCCTGCCAGCGAGCCTCACGATCGCCCGGGGAGCGTGACTCGAGCTACTTTTGGACCCGGGTTCCCTGGACCTGGGTCTCACGACACGGCATTGCCAGCCAAGACTGGCTGCTACCCGTCATTCGCGGCTCGGTGCAAATTCGCACCGTGTATGCAGGGTCAGAACAAATTTGTTGCCTGTTGGTCTCGCGCCTAAGCAACGCCCGCAGTGGTATGCGTTTTAATACGCGCGGCGTTGACGATGAAGGCAACGCCGCCAACTTTGTCGAGACTGAGCAGGTGCGACGACTGCTTCAGCCTTCGAGTTTCAATGTGCGATATCCATCGCGTTGCTCACCTTCACTCGGCTGCTTTAGGTCATTTTCGCGGGCAAACACATTCTGTCCTTTGTCATTGCTCGTGGCTCGGTGCCCATCTTCTGGTCCCAGCCCGGTCTGAACGTACGTCGTTCCTTGCTCTCACCAATCATGTTGTTCGACCGAGCAGCTGGCAAGCGCCCTCACCCGGTTCCCACACATCGGTCGCAGGTCGGTCAGCACAAGGTGCAGCTCACGCGCGAGTTTGCTGCTACTCAACCCGCGTTTCAGCGCCACTTTGATCAGCTTGCTGCCGCATATGGCCACACGGTACGCTGACACCACACTATATGCATCGTTTTGACCTTGCTGAGCGCCGGCCTCCTGCACCCGTGCCTTGTTCTCACCAAACTTGGGGGAATTTTGACCAATTAAACACTGCCCTGCCATCTCCTGACCGAGAACCTTAGGTGATCGTCAGTTTATTGGGACTGAAGGGCGGTGAATACACTTTGGAATCTCAATTTGAGAAACATGCCAGCACCTACGACCCCGACATGCCGTTTGTCCACTTTGACGTTCATGCCAAGTGCAGGTAACGTGTGGGCCAGTCTTTAGACTTTTTTGAGCAAGCTTCTCGGACCACTCGGCACGAACACAGGCAAAGAGGTGGCAGCTCATCTCAGCCCGGGGCTCTGCACTACAGGGGAAATAAGAAAGCCGTCAAAATGCTGCCGCTTGTCAAACAGCTACGGACGTGGCTCACGTCGGACAGTTTCTTTAGTCTGACTGGTAAACGTGTCAATCACGAGCAACTTGGCATCATCCGCGTCAATTGCCTCGATTGCCTCGATCGCACCAACCTTTGTCAAAGCGTTGTGGGCCTTGCCGTACGTTTTGTTGTCACACGTATTACAGCTGCTGCCACCAAGTAGCATTCCGCTCCCATCCCGACACAGTGCCAAGTCTAGAGCTGTTTGGTGCAAAGGCTGACGGGAATAACTCTGGTATATCTGGGCATTAGGTTCTGGAGGATATGCTGGGCACGCTCAAATCCGAGCTTGATCTGCGAGAAAGCAAGTTGCTTGAATTTCGTCGCGTCTTTGCGCTCATGTGGTCAGTCAACGGAGACAACGTCTCTCGCTGCGTCACGGGCACTGGTGCCATTTCTGGTGGAGTAAAGACATCCAAGTTGAAGGACATGCAGCGATCCGTGGTCCGGACTTTTAAGAACAACTTTATGGACAGTCGACGTCAAGCGGCCATCGACCTGCTCCTAGGCACCTACCGTGACGGTGAGTCAAGGCCCAGCCCTCACCGCTGAGGCTTGTTGCGAGCGACTGAGTCTCGATGGGGCGGGTCTTGTGCGTGTGTTTGCGCGCATGGGGATCGCCTGCTGGTGGCGGCTTTGTCTCAAGTTGATACCGAAAGAGTCTGGTTGCTCACAAGGGCTTTGTCTGGCAGGCCAAGCTGATGAGCTGGTGATTCCAAACGTTCTCATGCGTCAGCGACTCGACGAAGCCATGCGCCTTCGCATCAATGATTATTCAGATGTCATGCCCATCAACGTAAGGCGGCTTGTTTTTCATCTTTCTTCCTAAACGCGGGTTCAATCTCATCACGTGCCGCGACCAGGCGTTTGTGGGCACATGGAACATCAATGGCGGCAAGACGATGCGCACCTCTGACGTGGGTCACGTTGCATCATGCTGAAGCACGCGCATTGCGAAGTGACACACAATGCTCAACGACCCTTGTTTGCATTCATAGGGCCTATGCATTGATGAGTGGCTCATTCGTCCCCGCAGTCGCCTCAGCGAGGACCAAGGCAATGAGCTGGGCATCTATGCCATTGGGTTTCAGGAAATGGTAGGCCATTGCACCGGGAACAGCGAGGCCGGTCGATCTAGAGCGCAGCCTTCAGCGTCCCTGATGCGATTCTTACCATGCTATTGGCCATTTGTAGGTGGACTTGAATGCATCCAACATGATCAAGACTGCGCAGACAAATCGCTTGGAGTGGGCCAACGAAATTTGCACAATCCTGGGCGATGACTATGCCTTGCTGACGAGCGTGCAGCTCGTGGGCATCTGCTTGTTTGTGCTCGTTCGGACCGACCTGGTCGACGTGGTTCGCGACGTCTGCACTTGCACCGTGAAAACCGGGGCCGGGGGCAAGGTTTGTGCTATCGTTCTTTTTTTGTCATGACTCATCAGCGCCACACGTGCTGCGTTCCGTGCGTCCAATATCCCGCACGTTCTTGAGTAACAAGGGACGCGGTCCACGCCTGCGCAGCCGCTCATTGACATTGTGGTTTTGGGATAGGTTGGGAACAAGGGCGCTGTCGCGGTTCGACTACGTTTGTACAACACGCCCATTTGCTTCATCTGCTCGCATCTTACGGCCGGCAAAAGCCACGTGGCCGAGCGTAACCAGGACTACCACGACATTTACCGACGGATCGACTTTGGCAAGGTACTGAGATGACGATTGAAATTGCATCAGCTATCGTGTGTGTTGTTGTTCTTGTTGGCCACCAAGGGCGGTGGAGAGGGGTGGGAAGCCGCTGACGCAAACAATGCCCACCGCGGCCGATTGACTGTCAATTCGAAAGGCATTGACCTGACTCACTTCCTTTTGCCTGTCCAAGCAGGGACGTGTCTTGGACAGCCACTCGGCTGTGTTCTGGTTTGGCGACTTCAACTACCGCATCGATCTCGAGAACCTGGAGTGTCGCCAAGCCTGTGCTGACAAGGTCAGAGGCATTTGGCCATATTTCCAACTATACACGTCCACAGCTCATGGGTATTGCATATATTGGCATGACGTTGGCAGGACCTGGCCACTTTGAAAGAGCATGATCAATTGACGCGCGAGCGAGCCCGTCTCGCAGTCTTCGACTCGTTCAATGAGCCTCCCATCCACTTCCTGCCCACGTACAAGTACGACTTTGATTCAGACGTCTATGATACTTCCGAGAAGCAGCGTGTGCCGTCGTGGACCGACCGGGTGCGTTTGCCTGCCGCCAAATAGCGGCGTTTTGTTGTGGCCTCAGCCCAATGCCACCTCCAAGCTTTGTCTCATATCATTGAGCTTGCAGATCTTGTGCCGTGGACCGATTGCCAGCATGCTCTATGATCGCGTCGACACCTTGCGCATCTCAGATCATCGTGCTGTCTTTGGCCTTTTCAAAGTTTCCGTAAGAGGCTCCTCCCTGCTAGCCACAACGTGTGTCTTGTGAATGCGTGCGCGACACCATGGCTAATCGGCGGCTTTTTGACATAGGCTCAGCAAATCGACATGAGCAAGGAACTGCGCGTGCGCGAGGAAATTTTGATCGAGTTGCGCAAGGAGCTGGCCACTCTGGCTGTGGAGTGTCAGCAGGGAAACCTGCCCGCCGTGGTGGTGGTCAGTGACCCATCTGTTTCCAACCTTTCCCTGGATGAGCAGCACAATCTGCTGCTGAAACTCACCACTGTTTGTTTATACGTAGCAACGTGCCATGGAACAGTTTGGGGCCGTGGTCATTGTGGACCAGTTGCCGTCTGGCTACCTCACACTTGTGACATTTGCTGCCATTGAGGTGTGTTTGGCTGTTTGACCATGGGCAATGCATACGGGTGGCTCACAGTTCGTTTCACGTCTTGGTGTGGGCCGTGTTTTGTCGGGCTATGCAGTCGGCAGAAAAAGCGTTGCGCTCTGTCGATCCAACGATTGAAGGGCTGCCGGTGTCACTGCGCCTATTGGATGGCTCGGACGCCGGGTCATGGGCCTCTTTTGACACGAGCGTCGCGGAGTCGTTTGACCTTTCAGATGCCGATGTGGATGACAGCGGCATCTCAACTGCTGATGACCATGAGGTGCGTGCCTTGCTAAAAAAACGGGGGTCCTCAGCTTGAGGAAAGCTAGACGGGGCTGTCAACGACTTGGATCAACAAAGAAAGAGAGCTCAATCATTGGCCTTTGGTCCAAACGATCTCAGGCACGTGCTACTTTGGCGTATTTGGATCAACTCTCATCGGGGGACTTGGACTCGGCCCTGGCTGAGGACGATAAGGAGTCACTGTACAGCTCCACCACGTCTGGAAGCTCGCGGGTGATGGGCCGCCAGCGAACTGGTCCCGTGGTCACCAAGGCGCGGTCTGAGAGTCGACCGCCCGTGCCGCAGCACAAGCCCCCACGCCCGTTGTCGCGCAAGTCCAGTGACAAGCCTCCCCTGCCAGCTCGCCCGGGCACCAGCTCGCCAGCGACTTTATCAACAGCGTCAACAACTGGAGCAGGGTCATCGGTGGCCAGTACCACAGCGTCGTCTGTATCGTCGTCTGTGTCGGGGCCGCCGCCGCCCAGACCGATGCCACCACGCGCCACCGAATCCAAACCGCCACGCCCCGAGCCACCTCGCCCCGAACCGCCACGTCCCGATCCACCGCGCGCAAAGCCACCTAGCCTGCGGTCGTCACTAGTTGAAAGTGAGCTCAAATCGGCAGCCAATGCCATTGCACCGCCGCGCCGACCCAGTCCGCCCCGGCCCGTACGCGTGCCGAACGGGGTTTACACCGGTTCAGGCCAAGGGGCCTCAGAACTATGCAGTGCTTCAGGGCCGTCGACTGCATCGGATGCTGCATCTCGATCCTCGGGGCCGCCTCCTCCACCTCGACGTCCACCGCCTCCCGTTGCGGCGCGTGCTCGATCCAGACCAGGTGCGCTTGTCGTCGAATCGGAGGCCTTTGGCTGCCCTTGCAGACTTGTATGCGCCTGGGCTCACTGATTTGTTTGCATGGTGTGTCATAGATTCACAAGACTTGGGCCAAGCCTAGGCACATAATTGTATATTGTGTGTGTGTGCGCGTGCGCGCGTGCGTGCAGTGGATGTAGTTTGTGCGTGCATGTCGGTGCTCCCCACGGGCGTTCCTCCTCAGTCACCATGATCATGCGGGCATGATCAAGAAGGCTGGGGTGCATCGTTGTGAATACACCCATGCATTGGTTTTGGGCCAAGGCCAAAATTTTTTTCATAGCTTAGCCCTTTCTGCCTTGACATGCGACACGAAATGAAGTTACGGATGGTTGACACGATCCAGTCAAACATGAGATGGATTTGAGACCCAGCCACAGGTGAGGCTGGAGCCGGACGAGCGCCGCGCACACATTACGGGCGAGGGTGTGTAGGCGCTCGCTGTGCGCGACGTGCAAGCTATGAAACGCGCCTTGGTCTTAGAACAACAACTTGACATAACAAATGAGGTGGGGTACAACTGTGCTCAGTGGTCGGCACGGCCGAAGCAACTGAATCGTGAGGACAAGCCTTGGCCTCGGGTCACCAGCGGCTACAAAGTTTTCTTCATATACAGAGGGCTGTGCGCTCAGACGTCGTTGAGCGCCACAGCGGTAACGGCGCGTTGATGGCCCTTGAACTCGAGAACGGTCTCAGGTTGGTCCGCTCGAATGTCCCAAAGCCGGCCGGTCTTGTCAGATGACACTAGCGAAGTGGGAGTGGAGCCATGCCCAGCAAGAGCAGAGTCAAGCGCTTGGTGAGGCACGCAGTCTGAAGAACAGAGGCGAAGCAATGGTGCACGGGGCTCACCTGTCACGAGGTAGGCCGAGTCGCCTGAGAAGGCAGCACGCCAGACCCAAGCTGTGTGGCCGGTCAGGGTTGCGTGAAGGCGAAAGTCCTTGTGCGCATCGTAAATATGAACTGTCTGGTCGGCGCCCGTTGTCACGAGCCAGCGGCTATCGGGGGAAAAGACACAGCTCAAAGCATATGTACTGGGGTGCACGTCGAGTTTGAGCTTGGCTTGGCATTCGCTTCGCGAACTGTCCCAGATGTAGCAGCGGCCCTTGATGGAGAGAAGCGACACCCCGAGCTCAAGATTAGGTGGCGCTGCATGGCAAGAAGGGCGCGGCTCGGGGTCATGTGCGCTTGACCATGGCGCACCTCGTTATTCACGGCCACCAGGTGGGCTCCGTCGGGGGAAGTGGCCAAGTGACGAATGGCTACGTCTGGCTCAGGAATCTGGGATCACCATCAGTGGGTGAATAGTTGGGCAGGGGGTGATCGTCAGATTGTCAAGCTTGGCATGGGTGCATGAGACGAGGGTGAAGGAAAGCCGAGCACGAACCAAATGCTCTTCACAGTGATTCGCCTTGAGGTCCCAGCGCACAACACGCCCTTGCTCGTCTCCCGAGAAGACATGCGGCTATTGCGAGTGGGGACGGTAGAATAGATTGAGTTCACACACAGGCTGGGGTGCAAGGTGGCAGGAGGAGTGGAGGTCGACAAGGGCAGTGAGGAGCAAAGAGGAGGATGAACTGTACCAGGGAGGGGTGAAGGGCAACGCTGGTGACGGAGGCTTGGTGATTAAAGTTGCGTTGGTGCTCGCGGGAGGCCCGATGATCCCAAATTTTGACGGTGCCGTCCTCAGAGCTGGTGGAGAGAAAGGAGCCGTCGGCCGAGAAGCAAAGGTCTGTGACGTTGCTCTGGTGACCCTCAAATTCTTCACGCTAGAGACAAGGGGCAGGAAGCGGAGGGTCAGCTGGGAGTGGAAAGGTGGTGGCAAAAGGAATCGGTTGCAAAGTTTACGAGACGAGTCGGGTCGAAGTTCGGTTGAAGCAACGCTGAGCAGAGCAAGGGTTGTGAGCCGACGCGTGCACGCACCGCGCCGGTACCCATGGCCAGGGTGTCGTAGAGTGAGATTTTGGGATTGCCACCCGCTGCAATGGTCGTCTTGTCTGGCGTAATGCTCAGCACGTTGATTTGCTGCCATTGAAGATTGGGTGTAGGGACAAGAGCGTGGGCGAGACGAGGAATAAGTTGAGTCGCGCGCCAAGGACCCCAGCAAGCTGAGGGGATCATGGAGCGGGTTGTGGGGGGCGAGGGGGGATGAAACTAGATACTGACCGAGTTGGGGTGGGGGAAGGTACGGTGGCAGGAACCATTGTCTACGCGCCAGAGGCGAATCTGGTTATCAAAGCCGCCGGTGGCCAAAATGCACGAGGTCACGTCGATGGCATCGTCCGACTCGGCCATGATCCCGGTCACACCAGCACAAAACTACACACACTAACAACACACACACACACACACGCACGCGAGGAGGGGACAAAGGGGTGAATTGAAGCAAGGCAATAAAGAAGTGTAATGGAGATGGTGAAGCTATTTGACACAGCTTTGCTCAACTCCACTGGTCGAGGGGGGAAAGCGAAACAAGACGCGCGGCGCTGCCGTTTGTCGCCGTGCGCTCGATTTTTCGCGCGCGCGAGTGATCCGACCAGCGACTGAAAATGTAATTCCCCCCCGCTAACTAAATTAATCTGACAAGACTGATATTTTCAACTCGTACCCTGTAAAATTGAACAACGCTTTTTGCTTGCAGGCCAGGTTTGTCGGCCGCTTGCACCAATACAACGCGCGCTGACAACGTGAGGTTTCTCGTGGTTAAAAGGATTTCGGGCATAAATCCAGGTAAACCAATACAGATATCTCCCACCCGTGTACCACGAGAGAGAGAGAGAGAAGAGAAAAGTCAAGAGCGGTTAGGTACGGCAAGCACTTTTCTCCTTTGCGCCACAACGCATCATGTACGTGCCACAGCCATTGGCTTTTCGGGGTCTGGGAGGAATGGCAGCGGGGCGTTGGTGGCAGTGCCTGCGCTTGGGATGGCCTGTGGGGATTGAGATGGGTCTTTGGAGAGGAGGGGGGTTGTTTTGTGATAGTGGATGCCAAGGGTGTGGCTGCGTGCTGCTTTCTTGGGGCGTGGACTGTCGGCTGATGTGCAGCAAGGGGGCGACACGTGTGTTATGTTGTTGGGAACCTTGTGCGTTGCAAAGGGCAGCCACGGCTTGCTGCGGGCCTGGAGCTGATCCTGTGTACTTGGATGGCAAACGCTTTGCTCATCGCGTTTGCTGCTCTCTTGTTTGGTCTCTTGACGCACAGGTCTCACCGTAAGTTTCGCGCGCCCCGCCACGGCCACTTGGGTTTCCTGCCCAAGAAGCGATGCAAACATCATCGCGGCCAGATCCGCTCTTTCCCCAAGGAGCAGAAGGGTGACAAGCCCCACCTTACTGCCTTCCTCGGCTACAAGGCTGGCATGACCCACATTGTCCGTGATTTGGACCGTACCGGTTCTCTTGCGCACAAGAAGGAGGTTGTCGAGGCCGTGACTGTCGTTGAGACTCCCCCGATTGTGGTCGTGGGTGTCGTTGGCTACACCTCCACTCCCCGTGGTCTGCGTCAGCTGACCACCGTGTGGGCTACCCACATGGCTGAGGGCTTCATCCGCCGCTGCTACAAGCACTTTGCTGCGTCCAAGAAGGCTGCTTTCCGCAAGTACTTCTCCAAGCGCAACACCCCCGAGGGCCAGCAGCAGTTTGATGATGACCTTGCCCGCATGGTCAAGTACTGCAGCGTCATCCGTGTGATTGTCCACACCCAGATGAAGAAGCTCAACCTTGGCCAGAAGAAGGCCCACGTGATGGAGATCCAGATCAACGGTGGCTCCATCCAGGAGAAGGTTGACTTTGCCAAGTCTCTCCTCGAGAAGGAGGTCCCCATCAAGGATGTGTTCTCCCAGAACGAGCACATTGACATCATTGGTGTGACCAAGGGTCACGGTTTTGAGGGTGTCACCCACCGTTGGGGCACCAAGAAGCTTCCCCGCAAGACTCACAAGGGTCTCCGCAAGGTTGCTTGCATTGGTGCTTGGCATCCGGCCAACGTCACCTACGCTGTGCCCCGTGCCGGTCAGCGCGGTTACCATCACCGTACGGAGATGAACAAGAAGATCTACCGTATTGGTGCCGGTTACCACGAGAAGGACGGCAAGCTCGTCACCGCCAACGCCGTCTGCGAGGCTGACCCCACCGAGAAGTCGATCAACCCCATGGGCGGCTTCCCTCACTACGGTCTGGTCAAGGAGGATTTCCTGATCATCAAGGGCTGCACCGTCGGCACCAAGAAGCGTGTCCTCACCCTGCGCAAGTCGATTCTCCCCGACACTTCTCGCCGCGCCCAGGAAGAGGTCACCCTCAAGTTCATCGACACCTCGTCCAAGTTTGGCCACGGTCGCTTCCAGACCGGCGAGGAGAAGCTCGGCTTCATGGGCAAGCTCAAGAAGCAGCTCCAGAGCGAGGAATAAGCACGTTGCGTGCCGCTTGTTCCGGGCTTGCGTGCTCTATCATGGCGCCGCGGAGATGCGCGTGAGACCGCATACTCCTCGAATTGATCACCTCGATCGACTGGCTCATCAGTGTCAAGCGTTTTGTTCCTTTCTCTCCTTCTCTTGCGTCTCTCTTCTTGTCATCTTGGTTTCACCCTCGGTTCTCCTTGCCGTGTGAGGGACCAGCCATATTCATGCCGCCATTGAGAAAGGTTTGGTGTGGGCTGTGGGACTAAAAAAGTTGTTCGTGCCTGCCGGCTGGCGGGAGCGAATTTACATGTCGAACCGTACTGTCCCCTTTGTTTGTTGTCACAAAAACACACACGGATGATGCTGCGTCGGGGGAAGGGCCTCAAAGTATCCAGCTAGAAAAGCCGACATTGGGCAACGCAAGCGACCGTCGCGTCCGCTTGCGACAGATGCAGTGCACTGAGAAAACACAACAACACTTAGGCGCTTCACACACTTTGCAGTGCAATGGGTGCCACTAAATCACACATTGACAAAGTCACATGCGCTTGCCAATGTCTCTGAATTGGCTTGGCAAACAGTGGGGTTTGGATGTCATATCACCCCCCCTGAGCGCTCTCTCTCTGAGAGAACACCATTCACTGATTTTTTTTTTTTTTTCAGTTTCACACACTGTGGTGTTGGTGTGCACGATTGCCAAAAGACAGTTGGGATGGCGGTCGACTCACTGCCCGGCATTCGTGGTAAGTGCTGCATTTGTTGCCGGGTATCGAGGGCTTGCCGTGTGTCGAGGAAGGGGTGTAGATGGTGGTGTAGATGGTGTGATGGGTCACGCGGGGTCGTGGGTTTGGTTCGCGGCGGGCTCAAATTTGATGTCCTGGACTTGACCGCTTGGGTTCGGTCTGGGCATTGCCGTGTGTGTGACGACGCGATGCAGCCGGTGCAATCTTTGTCCCATACAAATATGTGGCGCTGGTACGTCTAGCTTTGCGTGTTCCTCGCTTTGCCAAATGGCGCGCTTGCTCATCCTTCGCGGCTTTGCTCCGCTCAGGTTTTGCTCATGGTCCAAACCACCTCAAGCATTTTGGTGTTGCGCTATTCGCGAACGCGCGAGGGAGGCGCCTACCTCTCCACGACCGCTGTTGTAATGGCAGAGCTGTTCAAGGTTGGCTTTGGGTCCCGCCGCTTGGTAGATTTTGCGCCTGCATCAGACTCACCTTGCTTCTGATATGATTAGCTGCTGGGATCGGCCGTGCTGCTCAACTATGAGCGACGCGAGTCCCCCCTTGAAACCATCGGCTACATGTACCGTGAGCTTTTTATCAACTGGGTGTCGTCGCTCAAGCTCAGCGTCCCTGCCCTACTCTACACAGTCCAGAACAACCTGCTCTTTGTTGCTCTCAGCAACCTGCCCGCAGCCAGCTACCAGGTGGGTCTTGCCTCGCACCAACGTCCGGTTGCCCCGCCAGGTCTCTGCATCTATATTTCATGTGTCTTTCTGCCCGTCTCCATCTCCGTCTTCGTCTTTGGCTTTGATTTTTGGCTGCTGATCTGTCTGCTGAGATCGTATACAACAATGGCACCCCACTCACGTTCGCCCTCTTTGTCCCCGCAGGTCACCTATCAGCTCAAGATCTTGACCACGGCCATCTTCTCCGTCATTATGCTTGGCCGATCTCTGAACATGTATCAGTGGCTCTCACTGGTCCTCTTGATGGGTGGTGTGGCCTTGGTTCAGGTGAGATGATGGCGCACCTAGGACCTCGCATCTTGTCTAAGCATGAAATGCATGCGCGCGTTTTTTCTCTTGCTCTCTGTCTTTGTCTTGTCCCTGTCACAGTTAGAGCATGCATGTGGGACACATTTCAGTCTGGTGCCTTCGCACGACTCACGCCCGTCCCTTTGCGTTGATTGCTGCTTGGCTCAGATGCCGAGTTCATCTGATGAGGAGGACCCAACTGCGATCAAGCCCATCGGCAACCAGATTGTGGGCTTGATTGCCGTGCTTTCCGCCTGCTGCTCCTCGGGCTTTGCCGGCGTGTACTTTGAGAAGATTCTCAAGGGCACCAAGTGCGTTTCTGCACCCTCGTTTTGCAGCCTCATGTTGTCCGATCTTGTTGTCGCCGATTTTGTTTGCATTTTCAACCGCGCAAGCTCACCCCGCGCCGCACACGGTCTGCCCTGCTGTAGGCAATCACTTTGGCTGCGCAACGTGCAGCTTGGTCTCTTCGGCATGGTCCTGGGCTTGATCGGCGTCTATGCCAACGATGGCCAGGCCGTGGCGGAGAATGGCTTCTTCCAGAACTATGATGGCATCACCTGGACAGCCATCTCCTTGCAGGCCTTTGGTGGCCTCATCATTGCTGCCGTCATCAAGTCAGTGCGCACTTGCCACGGACCCTCGCCGTTTGCTGGCGATAATAGCCTTCTCCCGTCCATTTTCCTTACCTTGTGTGCCGGCGCTTCACACTTTAGATACGCGGATAACATCCTCAAGGGCTTTGCCAACAGCATCTCCATTATTCTTACGGGCCTGATCTCTTTTATCATGCTGGCTGATTTCCAGCTCACCTTTATGTTTGCCATTGGCGCCTTCCTTGTAATGGGTGCGACCTTCCTCTACGGCCACACACCTGCTCCGGCGGCATCGGCCACCCCTGCCAAACCAAACGGCCTTCCCAAGGTATGCGACTGATCCTTTCGTCATTTGAACAGGCGAAAAACTGCAGTCTTTTGCTTGCTTGCATGTCCCGGTCTGCGCATCCCCAGGCGTAGGGGACGTGACCGTCCTGCCCACGACAAACAAACTCACGCTGTACCACGGGCTCGGTTTACTTTGGTTGAGTCACCGCAGTGAGGCCAGTGAAGGAGTTTGGAGCACTGGTGTTAAAGAGCCATCACGGCTGTTGCTTCGTCCACCCCTGAGGCTGCCTTTCAGAGCGCCACAGAGTAGATTGACGCTCTTGCTTGTGGCGGCCGTTTTCAGTGAGACGCGCGTCGGCAGAGTTGGGCTCTCTTGCATGCACAAGCAGTTTTGTTTCCAATTTTGTTCTTTGTTCTTGCCCGACCTGATTCGAGCGCAGGAAGAGCCTATGCTTATGGTTTGCGTCCGTCGGAAATTGTATAAGAACCGTAGTCCTTGGTCGGATCGTATGGTTCCCAGCGCGAGGCCGGGAAAATGTGCTTGTGACGCTCGTACCATGAGCGCAAACAGACCTGGGCCAGATCACAAAACCACATGAGGCCTGGTGCGTCGGCAAGGCGTCAGCACATCAATGTGCTATTCGTACCTTGCCAGCATGTGACTCCTCCTTCTCTACGCGCACGTCAGATTGTAACCTGTCGCACAAGATTCCCAAACCAGTGATCATGAGGGGTGGCGAGCAAAATCCGGAATCCACCAAGGGCACGGGCGACTGGCATGCTGCCCACAAAAACCCACCGAACATCGTCATGGACGTCAAAGTGGAACAGGGGACCGGATTTGCCGCGCGCTTTTGAAACGATGAGATCATAAAAAGTATGATGGTGCGGCATGATCAAATCCTCCTTGACATACACCAACTACCATGCACAAAGCATATTGAGGTCGAGAAAGACGAGGGTGAGGCACCGGGTCAGAAGCGTCTGGCGGCAAGCCGGCGAAAGAAAGATCGTTGGCAAACACTGACCGAATCGGCAGAGACGGCGCGCAACTCGGGAAAGTCGGCACGCAATTGTTTCAAAGCCGCCTAGCAGCGCACGCGAGGTGATTAACCCAGTGATTGAGACATTGACTTGCACAAGCCGGCAGGTTTGCCAGCCTACCTGCAAAAACTGGCCAATTGAATTGCCCTTGGCAACTTGAACGGTTCGGCGGTTACCCGAGCCATCCCAGTATGAGTAGGTAATTTCTATCGGTTCGTTTCGCATCTCCTCCTGCTTTTCAACCCACTCCTTGCGAAGTTCCTCCCGGCGCAAACGCTCCTGCTCTTCTCGCTCACGGTCTGGTAAAAAGGACGTGTCCACCTGCACGATTAAGCGCGCATCGTTTGCTTGAGATGGTGGACCGAGCCCACGCATGGTACCGTCAAACGGGGACGGGCCGACGGAGGAGGAAGAGGAGGAGGAGGAAGAAGAAGTAGAAGACGGATAGGCAACATCCGTGACGCGTACCTCTGGATTCTTGCCCAGGCGCTTCTTAGGGGGCAGAGGGGCTAGAAAAGTGGCAGTTCAAGTGAACCAGACGCGTGTGCAGCGAGCGAATTCATAGAAGTGGCGAGGTCACGGGGATGCAAACATACCTTCGTCTTCTTCCTCTTCCTCATCACCACCAAAGGACAGGACCGCCTAGTATACCATGCAGTCAGGGCAAAGTGGATATCAAATTAGAAAGGCTTGGAAGTCGGGCACGGTGCGCAATGGTATGCAGTACAAGAGAGAGACCTTGACTTTGGCTTTGGTACGCTTCTTGGTGGGCTCGGGCATGGCTGCCTTCTTGGCAGCTTCGGCCTCCTCAGCGGCCAGCGCATCTGCCACCTGAAGAATTGTTAGACGCAGCCTTGTTGAGTGCGCACAGGAGAGGGCAGGACGGAGCACGCGACAAGAGGCAGGGAAGGGAGCCCACTCCTCACCTTGCGTGCTCGTGCAGCTTCGGCCTCAGCTTGGACCGCCTTCATCTGATCCAGGGTGACAAGACCGTACGTCTTGACAGCAGCCTCCGCCTCGGCAGCATTACTGATCCGCGTCTCAAACTGTCAACACCATTCCTTCACGTGAGAAAGGGTGGTGGGCGTGGCGGGCGTCGCCAGTTCAGGTCTCGGGGGGCGAGTCAAGGCACGATGCGCACGACTGCCGACACACCTTGCCGGCAACTCGAGCATGGCGAGCCTGTTCCTGCTCCATTCGCTCCGTCTGCTCTTTGAGTTCCTGCTCGCGCTTCTCGCGCTGACGCATCAGCTCAATGGCTCGCCGGCCCTTTTGGGCCGGCCCCGTATACTGACTCATGCCGCCGCCGTTTTATGAGAGAGAGCGCGCGCGAGAGAGAGAGAAATGTGAGAGAGAGAGGGGTTTAGAGGTTCAAAAGAAGTGTTTCAAATTCTGGGAGGAAACCATAGTGAAATGTTCGCTTATTCAGAGGTAGAGTTGACCGGAGGTGTTGGCGAAGAGAAGCGCACACGTCAGAATTCCACATCAAAAGCAGTTTTTTTTCCGGAAGGCTGAACTCCAATCTACACAAACTCAACTATCAGCGTATATAAGTACCTGTGAGCTAACGTTAGTTTCTGTTGTTAAAAAGTATTTTCTGCTTTATCCTTCTAGATAACATCATCTTCTGTGTGCTCAGCTGGTTCAGAAGATCGAGCCGCAGCAAATGGCAGCGCCCTCGCTGGTTTGATCCAAGCCCGCCGCCAGCCGTGACGGAAGAGCAGACGGTGAGAGGAAGAAGCGTTCAGGTGGGCGGCGGTGGTGGTTGACTTGGCAATTGAGCTGTCGTGCCGCTCGCTGCAATTCGGCGTTGAGACACGGCTCCAAGACCAACGCAATGGCAGCATATGAAGCCCTGTGCCAGGCCTGGGAGGCCAACCGCATCGATGAACTGGGCTTTGTGCATGACGAGGAGCAGCCCGTTCAGGTTTTTGAAGGCACCAAGTTGGCCGTGGCTTATGATGCGCTGTCCGAAATAGCCGCCTTTGCGTTTGCCCAGCTGGCACCCCTCTTGCGGCGCGGCCAGCCAGTGCTGGAGAATAACGAGGATGCACAGCAGTTGGGGCGCGCCACGCTGGCTCTTCTCACCATCAATGGAAACAATTATGCGGCTTGGCGCTATCGCCTTGGTCTCATGCACAGCCATCCCGACATTCTCCCACCAGAACGCGAGCTTGCTTTGACCGAGGCCCTTCTCCGCAAGCACCCCAAGTCGACGCTGGGTTGGAGTCATCGGTGTGTGCCGCCCGCCTCCGCCAATAATCCCCTTACGCTTGACGGGCTCTCACATGAGAAGATTGGACAAGGCACCTTGTGTTGCAAGAGTTGTTTTCTTTCTCGTTTGCTCTTTGTGGATCCTGACTCACGCGTGCTTGTCCTCGGGTGGTAAACAGACGAGCCTGCTTGCAGCTCATCCATGACCGAACGGAGCTCGGTGCTGAGGCCGAGCGTGGTAGTGCAATGGCTGCCGACTGGCTCACCGACGAGGTGCTCGCCACAGAGTGGACACTCATCGAGCGACTCGCCGACGAATATCCCAAAAACTACTATGCTTGGTCGTATCGACATTGGCTCGCGGCCGTCGTTGCGCTTCATCCCGATGCCAACCGTCGCCGCCGTCAGATCTTGGCCGACTTGCAGCGCACGCATGTCTTTGCCGCCACGCATTTAAGCGACTACAGCGCATACCATCACGAATATACCCTGTGGCAGCTGATCATTGCCAAAGACAAGGTGCTTTCGCGCGAGCTGGCGCATCTCGAGGAGTGTCGAGGCCGAGTGGAACTGCTTATTCAGCGGCGTGATCTCTACCCTGGTCATGCTGCCCTGGAGGAACACATTGTTCGCCTTCAAGCCTGGCTGGCAACCCTGCCTGACGCCGGCGACCTGATCAGCGAGTCTGAAGCAACTTCTCCCGTCCCTGCCGAGTAAAATCCCCTTGTTGGATCTTGGCCACGCTTGCGGGCTGAGCCCACTCATCGGACATTGGACGAGGCCCCTTATGGCCGCATCAACTGCAGCTCCAAGCAACATCCAACTCCTTTCTTGGCGTGACCTGATCCAAACTTGGAGTCAAGGTAGTCATGAATGTCATTCTGTTTGAATTGACGCGACAACCGACGGCAGTGAATCAGGCTAACAAAGTCAAAATGAAGTCAAGGGTTTAGGAACGGGCTACAAACAAGCATGAAAAGAGCAGGGAAGCAAAGTCTAAGGCGTTGGAAACTCAGGCAGAAAAAACAGACAAAAACAAAACAGAACCTTGCACCTCCAAGCTTGCGTTGGGAAGCTTTGTCAAACGATTTTTTTTTTCGGTGAGTGTGGTGTGTGACGATTTATTGGAGTCCCTTTTGAACAACGTTCAAAAACTCCCAATAGGATGGGCCCTGGACCGTCTTGTCGTCATACTAAAATACAACAATACAGGGGGTAGGGGTGAGTGCCGCCACCAAGTTGCACGCAGACATGCACGGACGGGCCAGAATGAGAAATAAAGATCATTGCCAGGCGTACCAGCATGTTGGTAAACTTGGCACGAAGGGGCGACCGATCAGTGATAACGTGCAGCACTTGGTATCGCGAGATGAGACCACGCAGGCCCTTGATGATGTTGCGCATGCGGATGTTGCTATCCGACTCACACCGCGGCAAGGGTCCCTACAAAAACCAGGGAAAGAAAATGAGTTTGTTCAAAAAAAAAGGCGGAAAACAAAATAAAAAGAACGACTCAGGTCATGCCATAGTGGTCAGCCGGCTATAGCTGTTCACTAAGGTCCAGTGTCTGAGAACACAATCCGGTGCCACCTCATCAAATGGGTCATGCGTGGGAACCTACGTATTCAGGCTCCAGTTCAGCCTGGGATTGCACGCCAAAAAATTGATCCATCAGCTCGGGTGGCGTGTGCGGTCCCAGATAAAGGTAGACGCCGTCACCGCTGTACAGGAGGTGAATGCCATCGCGAACCAAGCGCTCGGCGCTCAGCTGTCGTTGAGGCGGCATGGGCAAGCGGTTGCGGCTATCTCGCACGCCCACGTTTTCAGCAATGTCATGTAGAGAGTAGAACCGAGGGTAAATGGCAATCATCAACTCACTACGTAGGTACGGGCACGTGTCCAGGCGCAGGGAAGTGAGTTGGCCGCGAGTTGCACAGACGCAGCCGCCGTGCACCTCTTTTTTGTGTCAAAGCAACACATGGTCACGTGTTGATGGTCGCGAGCCTGAAAAAAGAACAGTGTTAAAACATACTTGAGAGGAAGTGTTTTAATCAGAGACATTTGATATGCTCGCTCATCAGCCGACACTTGCGCGTCTGAACGAAAGGCGCTCTAAAAGGAAAGGAAAGAGAAGAAAAGAAAAGAAAAGAACGCGTAACCCACCGTCGTTGTCGTAAGATTTAGTCGAAGGAAAAAAGAAACACCACAGAAACGCGTAGCCAGACTTGCACGTGACGTGCGAGTTTGGCAAACAGTTGTTGCGGTGTGCTGGGCGTACCGATTTGAGCAGTGCGTTGATGTAGAGTGGTAGCAGCTTGAGCGAGTCGGGCGTCAGCAGCTGGCCGTCGGGCTCGGAGCCTAACACATCCTTGCGGTATGACTTGAAGGTGTCGATGCAAAAGTTGGACAAGGCGGACCGGGCATCCGCCAGCTTGGAGTTGACGGTGCGGTCCACAGCTGTCATAGAGCATGAAAAGTTGGAAATAAAAAATAAAAAAATAAAAAATGAGTTTCCGTGTTTTTGTGCTGTCGAATGGCCGACGAAGAGGCGTACCCAGCTTGGCAAGCAAGCCCGTAATGGCTTCGGCGTCGGCAAAGGCGTAAATCTCGTGCAGCGTTTTGACTACGGGCAGTGCCATGGTGTGTACGCGGATGCGTCGCGTGCCATCTGATGCCGTGTATAGCAAGGCTGCTTGGAAATAAACAAAGGGTGCTGTCTCGCCCAGCTTGTCGTCCAGCTGGCAAAGAGAAACGCGAGGAAGGTGAGGTCACAAGCTTTTGCCCCCACATGCAAGTTGAGGGGGTAAAACAAGCATGCCTACCGTCAGCTGCACAGTGTAGCCGTTGTCGGGGCTGACGTTGGCCAGTGCGAGCAAATCCTGATGGGGCCGCACACACAAGGGCATCGGTGAGTTTGGCAAGGGACGCGAGAAAGGCAGAGCTTGGTGCAAACCTGAGAACGAAGGAAAAAATTGCCGTGGAAGCCGTTCATGACAACCCCCTTGGAAGTGCGAAGACGCATCACGGCCTCGAGGGCCAGGGGACGGGTCAGATAGCGGCTCAGGTCCTTCTGAACCTGCGTTTGACAGGCAGGTCGGGCTGCGTTGAAGCCCGGATAGTGGTAAAGGGTGCCACCACCGTAGCGAGGCAGATCATTCAGCGAGGCAATGTCGGCATAGTCGCCGTTGAAGCAAAACACGTCAATGGCCAGTTGTGCACGCGAGGCATCGACCTGATTATTTGGGATTGTCAGAAAGCGCAGGGCGGTGAGAAGTCGAGCGCGGTCGACACTGGACACGGCACGAGGTGTGATGCAGACCCGAGGAGCGGACAGCCATACCGAGTAGGCCTTGTAGAAATCGGTCTGAGTCTTGAGCAGGGCGTGAACCTTGTCACCGCTGCGTTGAGAGGCATCATCGCGCATCTTAAGGCTTCCCACACCAATGCTGGGCAAGGTGGTTGTGAAGACGGATAGGCGCCCGCCCACGTTCCCAATGATTTGCCGGGCGGCTTGCAGGGCCGGGCCGAGTGCTGCTTGGCCACGCGGTGAAGACCGGACTGTCCTGGGCAGCTCCCTGAGCAAGGTCTCAACCAAAAAAAAAAAAAAAAAAAAAAAAAAAAAAAAAAGCAAGTCGCATGGCCAAGGTGTGGCAGCAGGTCAAAGGTGAGAGGCGGGCTTGGCCACGAGCAGGCTAGGCAAGTGCCTGGCGCCGGGCGCTGAACTGCAGGAGTTGGCAGTTTGGACCCGTTCAAGGAAAGGAAAATAAGGGAATGAACGAACCTCTCGACTTTCGGCGAGATTAACGAGCAGGTCGTCGGTGGCATGGGGGAGGAACGGGTCCTCGGTGTCTGTCATGACCATCATTTGGGGTTGGGCCAGTGAGGCTGCCAGGTTGTAAAAGTGAATGTTGGTGTCAAATGTCAAGAATGCTACACGGGTCCGGGCGTCGCCGGTAATGTGATCCAGCTCGTCCAGAATCGTTTGGCAGATGAGGTCAACGCTGCCGTTGGCGATGGCGGCGGCGGTGACGTCAATGAGGAAAATGTAGGTGCAGGGCTGCGGGGCGCGGACCATGTACTCGGGCGGTGCGATAAATTCAACCGAGGGCTGGATGAGGTCGGGTCGGCTCGTGCGATCAATCATTTCGCCAGTCAGGCGATTGTAGTCAAAGTCTTGGGGCAAGGGGTTGAGCCGGCCGCAGAGATTGCAGCGCCAGGAGCCGCCGCCTTGGACAAAGGCAACAAAGGGGTTGATGTAGGTGCGGCACACCTTGCAGCGAGTGATGGTGAGGTGATCAATGACGGGCAAGTTGGGGTCGGTGGCATAGGGGTGCACGTGAAGGGCAAACGGCAAGCGGGCGTTGGACAGCAGCTTGGGCGTCTCCGGGACGGCGGTCAGGGTGGAGCGCATGATGCGTTTGCTGACGTTGCAGCGCTCGTATTGCTCGGACAGGGGCGGTTTGACACCAGCGGCGGGCTTGGGGGGAAGCACGTTACGATCCGCCATGAGGTTGACGGAAACGCCCTGGGGTACCAGAGCATTGCTCGAGAGGCGCCGAAGCCGGGGGTCACCAAGCTTGGTGGGCGAGGGAGAGACGGCGCCCCCTGCAATGGGGGCCTGCTGAGCGCCGGGTGGGACAGGCTGCATTTGGGGCACGGACGGTGACGAGGCCTTTTCAAACTCGTATGACTGCGAGGGGTAGCGCCGCGATCTAATGCAAGCAGGGGCCGAGCAGACATGAGCCAGATTGGACGATGGGCAGCACAAGACCAAGGGAGGGGGCGGAGGTGTTGGGCAAAGACAAGCTCGCCAAGGGGTTGGGGTTTGGCGTACTTGACATAAGATCCCTGGCCTGGGTTGTCATTTTCAGGAATGGAGAAGAGGCCAGCAGAGGCCGGCGGTCCTGCTCCGTTGTGACCATCTGACCCGTTGCTGTGGGCAAAGCCGCCAGCCTCTGGGTCGGGCATGGTGGGAGGCATGGGCATGTTGCCGGGGTGAGGTGGCATGGGCATGTTACCGGGGTGGGGTGGCATGGGCATGTTGCCGGGGTGGGGAGGCATGGGCATGGGCATGCTGGCCGAATGGCTCGGGGGATGACCTCCAGGGGCTGACTGGGCACCGGCCGCTGGAGGAGGCATCATGGGCGGCATGGAAGGGGGGCCCGAGGGAGGCATGGAGGGAAAGCTAGTGGGCGGCATGGTGGGGGGGCCCGAGGGAGGCATGGAAGGAAAGCTAGTGGGCGGCATGGAAGGGGGGCCCGAGGGTGGCATGGAGGAGAAGCTAGTCGGTGGCATGGTAGGGGGACCTGTGGGTGGTCTGGGTATGGACATGGAGGCACTGCTGGCAGAGGTCCTGCCTGAAGGGGGGCCTGAAGGGGGGCCTGGTGGCATGGCTGGGGGTTGAAAGCTCATTTGCTGAAACTGCGTGGTAGGCGGTTGCATTGGCTGCTGAGGCAAGCTCGTGGGTGGAGGCCGAGGCGGCATGGCCATCATCGTGGGTGGCGGGGGGCCTGGTGGGCGAGAGCCACCGGAACCTGGGGGCATGGGCGGTGGCGCCGCCATGCTGCAGATCTGGAGGTGCAAAGCCAAATTGGATGAATGTGTGAGTCTGCGCTCGCAAAAAAAAAAAAAAAAGACGGCCAGTGAAGCATCAAGGTGGTGTGGGCATGCAAAGAAGGGACGATGGACAGGAACAAGAAAGCAGATGGCCTTGTCAGCTACGGCCCCCACGGGGCCCGAAAAGGGCCAGCATGGCACATGAATTGGGTCTGGTGGCGAGGTCGCGTCGGCCAAACATGTGTGTACCTGGTCTAGTGATTGGACAGACGGGCAAGAGAAAACGTGGTGTGCACGTCTCGAGGCGGTGATCGGAGCAGTGGCTCAAGTCTACGCGCCGGTGGTTCCCAGATGCCAACAAGCCAGAGACACGAGTCAGAATGAGCGGTGCAAGGGCAGCGTGTGATCGCTCCACGGAAAAAAACAAAGGAAGGGATACGAGCGCGACCGACGAAGACGACCACACGTGTCGTGTAGATCCATTGGCTGGGGAAGGCCGTCATGAGTCAGTACAGCAGGTGGCATACCTTGACGTTGGTGTGAGCCTGGTCGACTCAACCAACCAGTCCTGGGTCCCAGCACTATGTGTACCCGTACACACACTGCCACGTCTGCTTCAACACGACAAGGGACGGGACGGGACGGGATGGGACGGGGCGTTCACGGGCTCGGGCCAACACCGGAAACAGCCCCCCAATGGAAAAAGAGAGACTGTGTGAGAGAGGAGAAGAGAGAGAAGAGAGGAGAAGAGAGAGAAGAGAGGAGAAGAGAGAGAAGAGAGAAGAGAGAGGAGAGAAGAGAAGAGAGAGAAGAGAGAGAAGAGAGAGAAGAGAGAGAAGAGAGAGACAAGCTTGAAGAGGGTTGTCAGAAGAATGAGTTACATGTGGTAACACTCAGAGCAAGAAAATTGTCTGACATTCGGGAACAGTGCCAAGTGTTTGTCGTCGTGGCAATGTCATTTAGTAGTCAATCATCTCAATTGCTTATGAGCACGCTGCCTTCAAGCAAATTTGAATGCACATGTAACGTCGGTGTAATGACAGCAGAGCTGAGTTGAGAGCCGTGTGTACGTAATCTGCTGGATCAATTGCCAATTGCTGGAAAATTGTCTGCCTGGCAGAGCGCCAGCGGATGAACAAGTCAGGGCAGGAGAGGCCTCACAAGAAAAAGGGGGAGACAAATACTACATGTAACAAGCATAGACAACCCTTTGACAACAAAAAGGGGTTGGAACAGAAAATATACAGGTCAGAACAAACGCGGCGGCGGGGAGCCATCATCGGCTTCAACCCAGATCAGCAGCAGGGGGATAAAAAGACAAGATCGAGCCAAAATTGAGCCCTTTGAACATTAAATAGCAGGCAGAGAAAGAGCATGGACACGGCGCGCCTGCGCGGCGTCAACACGAAACAACCATGGAACCGCGGCAGTCATGGCTTCTTATGTGCGCAAAAAGTCCATCCTTTGAACGCAGGGCGGGCAGGTAAAGGCGTGGTGATGCTCCTTTTTGGACAAGCCCAGGCACTCGTAGTGGAACCAGTCGGAGCAGACGTTGCAGCACAACATCTCCTTCGTGGGCTCGCCGTGGCACAGGCAGACCACCCCGCTTGCGGCCTCGGGTCGACGGCTGGGTGAGAGCGCTGGTTCGCTAATGTTGCTGCCCATGACTGCATCCGAGGCATCCGCTGCGGTCTCAGTCTGAACGTACGAGGCGGCAGAATCTGCCGAACCAGCAGCGGAGCGCAAGTGCTGGTTTTCTGCTTCAAGCTCCGTAACGCGTGCACGCAGAGCATCCATGTCGTCTTGAAACGCGGCCGCCGTCTCCTTGGCGCGGTCGAGCTCCCGCACCAAGTTGCAAATGTACAGTTTCTTCTTGAGGCGAGAAACGCACGAGGCGTGCTTGTTGCGGAGACGCTTCTTTTGTGCCGGGGTCATGCCCTTCATGTGCTTGGTGCACTCGTCGAGTTCGGCCTGCCGTTTGGCCAAAAGTTGGCGAAGCTCAGCCTCCTCTTCTGGCGACATGAGCAGGTCGTGGCCGAGATCATCATCGCTATCGTGCATGGTACGACTGGCACTGCGGTGAGAACTGCCATCGTCGTCATCGTCGTGCGAGGGTTGTGAATGCAGCGCATGGTTGCGCTTGGGTGTGGGCTCGGCAGCCGCATCGTCGTCCGACGAATCGTGGTCCTGGTAAGCCTGAGGGTCGACCCGTCGCTTGCGAAGCTGCCGGGTGGACGGGCTAGTGTTGCTTTTGCCGGAGCTGCTGGTGGTGTTGGCGGCTGCAGCCCCAGCGGCAGAGCGGATCGCCTGAGAGATATTGGTGCCGAGGGTCGAGGTGCGGGTTGACCGGCGGCTGGTGGGAGCGGGGGCCAACAGGCTGATGTCGGGCTCCGGCGCCTCCAAGGGCGTGGCCGAGGACAATTCGCTCCCAAGCAGCGTGTCAAGCTCAGCAACGGTCATCATGCCCCCCGTGGGACTGCTAAACTTGGAGTGAGTGGGCGTTTTACCCAGCAAAAAGGCAGAAGGCGAAGGCAGATCCTCGTTAAAGAGCTGCTCAATGCGAGGCGTCAGCGCCGTTGGCGTGGTGGTCGTCATTGTGTCGGACAACGTCCCAATGCTGGTCGTGTTGTATTGATATATCAAGTGCGCGTATCTGGCAGCGTCAAGTGCAGACGAGAAAAACCAAAACAAAACAAAACACCAAGAGACGCTCAAGTTGCAAAGGCGCGGCGGGCTGTGAAATCGCAACACTCCTTCAAGCACCGCTTGGTGTTTGCGATCAAAAACTCGCTGTCTTCAAGCGCAAGACCAAAGTGGCTGACACCTGTCGCACGATGTGTCAATGCAAGTTGTTTGGTGATGGATATGGCAGCCGCTGTTCCACTTGACAAAGAGCTAAGCGGCTCGTGAAATGCTTCAGAAACGCAACGCGGGCGGCGAGTGCAAGGGCGGTGGACGCAAAAGTCAAGAGCTGGAGAGCGAGTCGCCAAAAAATCAAAAGGTCTGATGAGTCGGTAGACAAGCAGAGCTTTGAAAGAAAAATGAGCAAGAGCCGACACTTGCAAGCACTTCAAGCTTACCGCCCACCTCCACAATCATATCCACCTGCACCACAAGCAGAAAGCACAAGAGCAGAAATGCAAGGTGGGGGAGGTGTGGATGAGCGGCAAGAAGGTCGGGCGAGCGAGATGCCCTCGGGGTCCGGTCATCGAGCGCAAGCGCCAAGCGCCAAGGGGCAGGCAGCCGTTTCGAATCGGCCGTGCCCGGCTGCCAAAACGGAAAGAGTCAGAGAGTGAACGTTATTCCGAGTTGAAGAACGCAAAGCCAAAGCCAACACCAAGCCAAACGCAGAGACTTTACCAAGCGCCAAGGGATGATGTGTCACTTTACATGTGTTTTATTTTTAGAAAGAACGTCAACAAAGCAAGAGACAGAGAGGAAACAAAAGCAACAAACACTGAGAGAAACAAAGCAAGAAACAGAGAAGAGAGCTGTCACATCATCGTTATGTATGTGGAGCCAAGCTGGTATAAGGGCATTGGGTGATGGGATGAATCAAAAGAGGACTTTAGTGAATGAGGGGAGATGATGAGGTCAGAAAAGGAGAGCTCCAAAGTGGGAAAAAAATGGTTAGGGTTATGTCAGACAAATCCAAACGGGTTTTTTCTTGGCGCTTCGAGCGAAGCGGAGAAGATGTGTGTGAGCTCGAGCTGCCCAATTTGGAGTACACACGTAACCCTGTCCCAAGCTATGAAAATGTGAATTATTCTAAGAGTAAAAATACGCTCTTGTTGTTAGGGGTGGGATATTGCTTGACCCAAACAATGTCTTGGATGACGGGATTAGCCGTGCACACAGGCAAGCGAGACTCGATGATGATCGTTACCGTCGTGGGCTGGTGCAATGCGATGCGTCGTCATTGAGACTTGCTTGTATAACTTGCTTGCTTGCTCTGCAATCGTGGTGCTGGCGACGGGGCCGATCGCCAGGCCAACCCAGTGCAAGGGGCGCTTCAGGACCACAAGATGCATCATTCACCCGAGCATTTCACCTTGGCCATGTCGCTTGCAGACGCAATTTATCCCACAAGACTGGTCGCCAGGCCATTCACCGATGTTGTTTTGAGTCGTCGGCCCAAGTTACCGAGAGTGCCGCACTTGCTGGTATTGCTTGTGGTGGTGGTTGAGCTGTGAAAACTTTATAATCAAATCACCACATGTAGAGAGAAAGGAAGGAGAGAGGGAGGGGAAAGAAGGAAGAGCAAAAAGAGAGAGAAAAAGAGAAGATGAAATTATTGATAGCAAGGGCAAGAAGAAAAAGTAAATCTACTACATGTACATAAGAAAAGAAACGCTGACAATTCGCACAGATCCAATGATTTGATGTGCGACGGCATCGGAGCGTTGGCTGATTGATTGATTGAGAAGCAACGGCATCGGAGCGTTGGCTGATTGTTGGATTGAGGTGCAACAGCGTCAGAGCGTTGGCTGATTGATGGATTGAGGTGCAACAGCGTCAGAGCGTTGGCTGATTGATGGATTGAGGTTCAACAGCGTCAGAGCGTTGGCTGATTGATTGATTGAGAAGCAACGGCGTCAGAGCGTTGGCTGATGGATGGATTGAGGTGCAACAGCGTCAGAGCGTTGGCTGATTGATGGATTGAGAAGCAACGGCGTCGGAGCGTCAGTTGATCAATTGATTGAGGTGCAACGGCGTCAGAGCGTCACCCGATTAATTGAGGAGTTACTGTGTCACGTCGTCATGATGTTGGGTTGGGTCGCGTGCAGCTGGGCTCAACAGGTGGCAAGCCCATTGTCATGTCTGATATAAAGCGTGTTTCTTTCATCCCAGCGAGAAACGTTCATAGACTGGTCGCCGGGGTGGAGGCGCCCGTCACCTACTAGCACTGCACGTTGCCTGCGAAGAGGATCATGCGGAGGTTGTGGAGAAGCTGTTGCAGCATGGTGCTGATGTCAACGCCAAGAAATCAAACGTCAGTACTTTCTTTCTGTTTACTTCCTACTCTTTGTCCATCCATCAGCTGTTACAACCCCTCTCCTCGTTGCTACAAGCCGTCTAACTTGAATACAGCATCTTTCTCTCCTTCTTCTTTTGGCGTCTCAACTCCCCCTCCAATCCTAAAATCTACACAAGTTTCAATTGTGTTTGTTGTGACTGTCGTCGGCCCTTGGACTGTTTCACCCACCCGCCGAATGAATCACAAATCTGTCCCACTTGTACTGTCTCTGCATCTGATGTGCGTATATGGCCCCGTCATCTCCGTGGCTCAATGACCACAAATAATAGAACACGACGGCACTTCATTTAGCTTGCGCGTCTGAGGATGAGAGCGTTGTCAACATGCTGGTGGAGAGCGGCGCCGATGTTGATGCGCTGAATGAGGTTGGCTCTCCCTGATACACGCAAATTGCGTGTTCACAACATGCGCTTTCCTTTTGCACCTGTGCTTTGCATGGCCGTATCTCGTTTGTCGGACGACAACGGCGTGTTTTGCTCATGCTGCTTTTGATGTCCATCTCCCTTTTACATTGGCACGATTATGCCTATGTTGGCCTTGCAGAGGAATGAGCGTCCGCTTGATTGCATTTTGACATTCGATTGGGTTGATCCACAGGTAGGAAAAGCCGATGCTGTGCTATTGAGGCAGCTTCCATTTTGCATGTCTTATTTGACCGCTATGGCATCAGCTGGTAATCAGGATGCTTCGTGCCAGCCGTCAGCCCGGATCATACCAGAGTCCAGTGCCACAAGGTGAGATACCCATGTTCAAACCATACATCACGACATTGCATATGGTTGACTTGAACGACTCTAGTTCAAGCTGTAGTCCTGGCCGAGTGGAATAGAATCTGCAGTACTGGAATTGCGGTCCTCTTTGGTGTTGGCTGGCGCTTGGAGCCGGCACCTTTTGAATTCTGCACTTTTGATGGTCTAAAGTCCATTCTTCACGAGTTCAAAGTCTAGGAGCCCCGACGAGCGGCAACCTACAAAGGCATCCCTTTGCGACTATGCATGTCCGTTCATGAGATATCAAAGCCAAATAAGTTCAAGCGTGTGAATAATTCGAATAGCAATCGATTCTCGATTTTCAGGCTTCATGCGTGTGGAGGCCGGTTTGGGGTTTGCGTAGTGTTGAGGGAGCATATGAAAAGAACTTTGAAAGAGAAAACAACGGATTTGACGCCACGACTAGCGACTTGTCCAGGTCAGCCGAATGGGCGCACTGAGCAGGAGCAGTGGTTCAAGTGCCCCAGAAGGGGGTGATGGATGGTCTGCTCGCGTGATGACTAGCATCCGTCAGCCCTTGGGTTCAGCACCGGGCTACGATCAGCTCTCTCGCTTCTTATGCTTGACTGTGACGCATTTTTTCAAGCCACAGACCTGATGACACATCTCAAAGCTCAATACAGCGTTGACTGAGACAGCACGGATAGAAAGCACTTTGATCTCAGAGTCAAGGCAGCTGCTTTGACCAGCAAGAAAACCACGCAAGCACGCTGCACACATCCACCCGGTGTTTGATTGGCTTGGACGCTCAGGTCGGATATAAATCGCTGTCAGGAATGCTCGCTCGCATCGGGGTGGAACAGATTGCTATGGCCAGAGGGTTTTAATCGGGTCACCAACGAGCTTGAAATTCTTTCCATCTGCCACGGCAAGCGAAGCGAAGCGGCTTTGCGCGCACGCACAAGAAATTTGCTCGTATGACAATTAACATGAAAAGTATTTGACTTTTCTCAAATGTCAGTCAGAACAACGGTTTTGAACGTGTCGCATTCCCCCCCCTTTTTTTTTCTGCTTGTGCCCCGATGTCGACATCGGCATCGACATCGGCATCAACCTTGGCGGGCCTGCTCGACGCATCTTGCTCTATGTGTGATGCCTGATCGTTTGTGCTTGATCTCCCGGCTGAGGCCTTGTGGTGACGTGAGAACGTTTGGTAGAGAGAGAGCATCGCTGCCACTTTTTTTCTTTTCAGTGAGGCGACTGATCTCGCCTCACAGTCGTCAGCGTGTGCTTGGGCAAGCAAGGCCACCTGTGCTCGTGAATGCAACCCAAAACTATTGGCCAGAGGTGAGTCGTTTGTTGCATTAGGAAGAGAAGAGCAAGACCCGCTGATCGGCTGCCGTTTTGGAAATTGCGCGCGCGCACATCAAATCGGGTTGTCAGATGGAGGGGCTCATGAGATTGGTGGTGGATAGAGAAGCAAAGAAAGCGGTTTGAAGCGGATGGTGAATCGAGCGATACCGTTCTCATGAGTGATGATGGCGAGCAGCTGCACAAGGCGTGTATATCACCAGATCCACAAGAGGCGCTGCAGCTGTTGAATAGTTGGGACCAACAACGTATTCGAGATGCTGTCCAATACAAAGATTGTGTACGTATGGAGTGATGTTACGTGGTTTTGGTGACACTCCGAATATGCCACTGAATGTGGAGACGTTATGGTATACCATGGGACATATTTCTGCATGTTTGCTTCTTCCCGCAGGATGGCGGTACACCGCTGCACTGGTTCTGCTATAAGGGTGATGGCAAGGTGGTGGAGATGCTGTTGAAGCACGGTGCTGATGCTAGAGCTAAATCCGGCGTCAGTACAATACCTCTCTCTATGATGGTACACCTGCACCACCTGATGATGATGATGGGGCTGATGCTGTATCTGTACCTAATGCTCATGCATCATCCCACAGTATTGGTGGACACCACTGCACAAGGCTTGCCTGAACGGTCATATCAAGGTGGTGGAGATGCTGATGGAGCACGATGCTGATGCTAAAGCCAAGAGCAAGGTCAGTACAAGACCTCCCTCTTTCTCCTTGACGCTTCTGGCTGCTGCTCCTGCTCCCGCTACTCGTCGCCGTTGCCCCGTCTCTCTCTCCTCTCTGCCCTGCCCTCCCGCGCGCGTCCGTTCTACCCTTGCTCCTTTCCTTCTTGTCGCTGTCTTTTTTCTTTTCCCGTTTTCCGTCCGCCCTTTCTTGGTACTCCCTGTATCCTGCCTTGCCCTGCTACACCTTCCGCCCGCTTCCCTTTTCTGATGTTGTGACTTCAAACTGGGCAATACTCGACCCCTTGCCATCGCGCCACTGCCTCCCTCGCATTGTAGCTTTACCCGGCAATGACTTTTGTGCCGCATCTGCTTCGCTCGGGCTTGTGGTTTTCTGAATTTCACTGGCTCATCTAGACCCGTTGTCTTGTGCTGCATGACCGTCTTGCTCAAACAATGACGTGCTGGCCAACCAATGCCTCGGCAGGACGAGAACACACCACTTCACCTCGCCTGTAGCGACAATCACGCCGAAATCGTTTTGATCCTTCTAAGTCATGGTGCAGACGTCAACGCAAGAAACTGTGTAAGAAGCTTCTTGCGTGTCCCCTGATGCTGAAAAGTCCAAAGCCCAATATGTTGCTGGCGCCCATTCCTGCCTGATGAATTCCTTTTCGCGGCTAGGATGGGGCGACGGCATTGCACGCCGCCTGCCAACGTGGTAGCATGAAGGCGGTACAAGCCTTGTTGAGTCACAATGCAGACCCCAAAGTCACAACAAACGTATGTTGCACTCCTTGCTGTGTAAAATTGATGGTATTGTGTTGCCTCCTCCCGTGAAAAGGACTCTTTTCTCATCTTTCCGAACATGGATTCTAATATAGGACGGCCAAACGCCTCTCCATGCAGCCTGCACTGCCTTCTCTGCCAGCCGAGAGAATATCCAAAAACTCTTGCAACATGGTGCCGACCCAGATGCGAGGGATCTTGTGAGCTCTTCATTACGATGCCGTGCTTCTCCACTTTCTGCTGCACCTGCGACTGATACGTGATGGCCTGCTGTGGCAGACGGGTGCACGGCCCTTGGATTTGCTTCTTCGCGAGGATCCCATCGAGCTGGAGGTGGGCTTTTTTTTTTATGTTCGGTATTGATTGCAGAGGCAAGCTTGCTTACCGATGAATCTGCTTCACTTTATAGCTGGTTGCAGAGCTGTTGGGCGCAACCCGTAACCCTTGCTCCTACCAAACTTTGAATCCCAATGGTGCGAACCTGATTCACATGTCATTGTTCGCATTGCCTTGTTCTCATCGGATCTCAATGTGGCGCCAGTCCAAGGCTTGATTCATGCGGAGCAGGTCAGACGCTGGCGGTGCGCTGCTGCTGTTCTCTGTAGCGTTGGTTGGCGCGTGGATCTTCAATTGTTCAATATTGACGACCTACAAACCCTTGGTGACCTGGCCGCTCGAACGTCCGCTGCTCAAGTAGGACTTTAAAAATTGATGTGGGTGACGCTTGTGGTTGGCTTAATTTTATTTCCTCAGAAAGAGTGGTTCATGTGTAATTTCTGCATCAAAGCGAGCCTTCGAGGCAATGCTCGCGTCTACTGTGACCAGACGCGCTGGGAGACGAACATGCATGGAGATCGCCCTACAGTGCCTGTGTGTGGCCGAATCAAGAGGCGCTTTGAAGAGAAGTGATCAACGCAAGGGCAGGCATCGGCAACCAACGCCTCTACAGTCGTCAAGGTATTAAGGCGTGGCCGGAAGCAGTGATGAAACTCAGGGTTGCCAAAATTATTCTGCGAGACCGACGGGCGTCGATACACTGCTCCAATGATTGCCTGAACGGCTCATACTGATGGTGATGCCACGACACTCCGGCTCACTTGAGGAGAAACAAAGAGGAAGCACAAATATGAGAACCACGAGAAGGAGGGCAAGAAGCACCATCAATGTAAGCACGCCTCGCTCTCATCCGACCAACCGACCGACCAACTTCTCAACTGGCCAACGAGCGTGATGCGCGCGATCACGTGGCTGCTGCTCCTCAACCCCGGATTCAAAGTGAAATCTTCCCGCACCGGCTCGGTCGATGCTGTATTCAGACTTTGGGATGCATCATGTAGCCCGTGGCTTGAAGCATGTGTCACAGCCGAACGTGTCGAACCGATAAAGGGGGACTTCAGCAGCTACGAACATTCAAATTTCTTTTTTTTTTTCCTTCTGGCAGGCATTGAATGATGTGGGTGCTCTGTCAGGATCTGGGCTGCGCTTGCTCTGCGAGGATCAAGGCCTCGACGGTCGGGCTTTCCGATGAAAGAAATGGGCAAAGGCTTCTAGCCATGGCGGTAATTGGGAGCGACGAAAATGGCCAATGATGTTGCTGGATGCGCGAGGCCATGAGCTTAAAGCTGCTGGAGGGCATTTAGCCAACGGGCTTGTCAAGCCATGGCAGTCAACGAGGCAGTACACGTTGTCCGTTGAAGCCCCAATTTTGCAGTGCTTTTGAAGCCGCTTGTCACGGGCGAGCTGTCATGGCTGGCAACGAGGCAGTATACGTTGCATGACTCGACTCTTTCTCTGAAAGTTAAAAGTTTAATAAAAAAGAAGAAAAGGGTATGTGTGTGTGTGTGTTAGCGTCAAATCCGTGCTTCCACGCATTTGAACACTCCCACTGCTTTCGCACACACTCAGCATCGGTCGCTATGGGTCTTCCTATTGGTATTCCATAGCTACGACGACCTCACACATTGACACCTACTTTTGGACCCCCTGGGCTTGATCCTCCTCGTGGCAGTCACATGAGTAAACACCGCGTGTGACGCGGTCCCCACGATGCCTGGGCAGCTGCCCTGGGGCAATAAGCTTGTGGCTACTGTTGTTTCCCTTTGTTGTGACACCTGCGGTCGGGCACGAGTTGCACTTTCCCTATCCTCGGGATTGAGCGACTCTACAGCTATTCTAACGGTGCACCTGGTCTGGTCACTGTGAATGCTTGCCGACCGCAGGTACGTCAAGCCCTCTGCCATTCTGTCTTCCCCTTGCTCTCCTGTGTGCTCTGCTCTCTTGTGACTTTCCCTATCCTCGGGATTGAGCGACTCTACAGCTATTCTAACGGTGCACCTGGTCTGGTCACTGTGAATGCTTGCCGACCGCAGCTGGTTCAATTGACCTCAAGACACCACCAAAGCTTTCGCTCCGCTCCGACGGACGTCTCTCAAACCTCTCTCAAAACGCTTCCTCAAACCTACGCGCTTCCTCGCAACCCAAAGACGGCCTCCAGACGTGCTGGAGCCTGACATGGTAGCGATTGAAAACTTCGATCGACCGAC